GGAAACCCAAAATCTCTGTAAATGTTTATGAAAATTAATAAAATATAATTATAGAAAAAAAAAGGTGAACTGGGGGAGAGGAAAGGGAAAAGAAGAGGTAAAAGGTGCAACAATTAATGAAAACCTAATTTCTCTGTAAATTTTGGTTAAAATCACAATTAAAATGTAAAAAAAAAAATTTGAAATGAAAGCCAAATAACTAAATAAAGAAAAAAAATAGACAAAAACCATGGATGGCCACTTTATAAAAGACTATTAAAATATACAGTAAAAGTAAAATGATGATTTTCTTCCTTAGTTTTCAGGAAGCACAAGTAAAATTAATGTACTATGATTATACACTAATCAAAATGTCTGGGTTTAAGGAACTAACAGTAGTATTCATTTTTCTTCATAATAATGCCTTTCTGGTAACGTTCTTCAGTAGATAAATAATTTGTGTCCAGTATATAGTAGAATAATGTAGTAAGAGTGGATAACTCAGACAACTCAACATACTACTATTGAGAAATATTAGAAATACAACTAAAATTCCCCACATCAATATATGTAATGTTTTCTTTACATAAAAAATGAGGTAACCAATCTTTAGCAGCTCTGGCTTCATAGTTGTTGTTGGGTATGGTAGAGTTGGAACCAACCCGTAGATAACCCACCCTTCAGCAGGTTTTCAGAGGCAGTTAACCACACGTGAGGAGATTGCACATCCTTCTCCTGTGGAGCAGCTGGTGGACTTGAAATGTGTGCATTTGGAATTGAAGAGCAGCTTCTTGTCACTAGGCCACCCAAGCTCTGGTATGAAGCTCTGGTTTTAGGTTTAGGCAGCATAGAAAATTAAAGTATTGATACAGAAAATCAGAATGAGTGTTCAAGGAATTGGGTGGAATGATGGATAAGATTTGGAACAAGGAGAGTTTCAAAGTGTAGTGCTCTAATTACAGTCCTGTGTGTTAAAGTAGATGTTGTGCTCTGTGATAATTCATGAAGATTTGTGTGTTTAATTTGTATTCTTTTTGTAGGCGTGTTACAAAAGAATTGCTGTATTTACCCATAACATGATTTACTCATTAAATGTCTATGGAATTTTAATGATTCATTTTACATTTTTCTTATGACATGAGAAATAATGTGAAAAAATGAATTCTTTAATCCTAGATCCATAAAGTTATATTTTAAGTCAATTTATAAATGAGGGGTTTTTTATTTTATTAATTTTAATGAACATTTACAGAAATTTTGGATTTTCTTTGATTCATTGTTGCACTTTTTTCTTTACCCCCCTTTCCCCAGTTCGCTCCTCTCTTTGAAAAGCAAAAGATAAACTTCTTCGTTGGTATGCAATCCCCCAAACCCAACCCATACGCTCCCCTGCCTCAAATGCACTCCACTATGCAACCTTAATTCTGGATTCCTGTGATTATCATAATATGCTATCATATATCACTTTTAAACTGTTCTCTCCCTCATCTGTTTCAATTCAGTATACATAATCTATCCAGTTTTTCTCGGTTTTACCCCAACCCTGATGTCAGTCTCTTTCTACAACAGTGACACCATGCAGTATTTGTCCTTTTGTGACTGAGATATTTTACTCAAGGGTCACCCATTTTGAATAATATTGCATGAGTTCCTTGTTTTTCAGTGCAGCATAGTATTCCAGTGTGTGAATATGTCACATTTTCTCTATCCTTTCGTTTGTTGATGGGCACTTAGGTTGTTTCCAACTCTTTACTATTGTGAACAAAACTGCAATAAACATGGGTGTGCATATGTCTGCTTGGGTGGTGGTTTTGGTTTCTTTAGGGTATTCCCAGTAGAGGAATTTGCTGGGTCCCATGGTATTTCTATTTTCAATTTTTTGAGATAACACCATACTAGCACATAATAACAACTTTTGAAAGAAAAGTTTGTGTATATTTTCTGAACAGGAAACAGATTATGAGTTCATTTTTGGAGGAACACTTGCTAGATAATGCTTTTATAAGCAGCTAGAAAACTAGACACCATGCTAGAGTTGGGACAGCCTTTTACTAGATGCATTCCAATTGATCTGTCTCATATTGCTTTGGTTTTCGTTTTTTCTCTTTACCTTTGAATCAAGGACTATAAAACTATAATATTAAAAATAGATCAACAGTTAGACATTTTTATGTTTCTACTGTTAACAGCCACAGGTGTCAAGTTCTCATAACCCCACATCAACAGAAGAACAGCAGCTATATTGGGCCAAAGGTACTGGCTTCGGCACAGGTTCTACAGCTTCTGGTTGGGATGTGGAACAAGCTCTAACTAAGCAAAGACTGGAAGAAGAACATGTTACTTGTCTTTTGCAGGTAAGGGGGAAAATTTATTTTGTTGGTGATTGTAGATAACTTGTTTCTTAAAAAGTGTTGATAACTTAGTTTATCCCCTGCTATTTTTATGCCCACCAGTCTTTTTTCTGCTTCTGACATAGTTAAGAAACTACTAGACAAAGATTATATTTATTTATTCATTTCTCCCAAATTCATTAATTTCTTCACAAAGACGAAGGTAGGAGGAAAAAATTATTTAAAAATTATATAAAATGCCTTATTTATGTTCTTCCAATTATCATCAGTATTTGAATTCTAAATATATTTTCATAGATTGTATCTTTTATTTCTGTGTGTTCTATCACTTTTCTAGAATAGGCAAGTTGAAATAGTATAGATGTCTTTATGCCACAAAAAAGAGGAGAAATGCTTAAGAGATTAGGTTTCTTTCTTACATCAGTTCGTTGCGTGATAGTCCTAGAGTCTGTGTGTCTTATTTTTTATCATTCTAAGCATTCTATGAACTTGGAGAAATGAAGTTATACAAGTATTCAGGTTTTCTGTTCATAGGGTCGCTTTGAGTCGCCTGCAGCTCGACAGCATTTTACAACAACAACAAACAAACATTCTAAATCATTAGTCTCACTAAATCACTAGGCTCAGAATAGATGTTGTTTATCTTGGCATAAAATTTTTATGTATTGTCATACTCAGCAAAAAACTTAATCTAGTCAGGGGTCTTAATCTGTTCCTTTACCATTGTAAATAATGTCAACATTTCTTCAGAGGTTGAAAGCCTGTGTACTTGAGAACATCTTTGTTTACATCTTTGTTCAGTTACATAGGCTGTATTGTCCTTTGTAAACGACATTGTCGTACTGAGATTTCAGGCGCCACACTGACAGATCTTCTGACCATATCAGTCCACCTCTGATACCAGATTTTATAGTAGATTTCAAATCTTGCCCCACCCCACCTATTTTAATTGGAAATAACAACTTCTCAATTTAATTCAGGCCCCAGGTATTCCACACAGTCCTCTCTTTCTCTCACTCATCCCCATGTGAAGTGAGTAGGTACATGTACATCCATATTATTACTTCCATTATGCACTGGATCCACATTTGAGGAGTTTCCCTCTACTTTTTCAGCACACTTAACTACAAGCAATCCTGATAGCCTAGAGGAATTCACAGGTAATACCAGTGATAATAGCTTCAATATTACAGCAACAACAAAAATAACAGATGGATAGGGTGAGATCTAGAAATGGTCACAATGCAGATAATCATGTCCCCTCCCTCTTGTGTACATGTTTGATCTCCAACCCAAAAGGTTCCTGAGTCTCTGTCATCCAAGGCCTTATAAATTATAATATGCCAACAAGCTGGATTATCACAGTGACTGTAACAGTGGCTCGAGCATATCAGTGTGAGGATGGTGCAGATTAGAGTAGAGTTGATCTGTTGTTCAGAGGGTTGCTATGAGTCACAGTCATCTCAGTGGCATCTAACAACAACAGTGTAAGACTTAATATAAAAGGAGCCCTAGTGGAATAGTGTACAAAGTGTCAGACTGTTTACTGAATGGTCAGTAGTTCTAATCAGCTGCCGCTCTATGGGAGAAGGATGGAGGTACCTCTTAAAAAGATTTTTTGTTAAGTGCTGTCGAGTGCAATTCATAGTGACTTTATGAACAGGGGATATGAACCCTGTGCAATCCTGGGTGACCCTTATCATCACTGACATACACGAGCTCCACCATTACAGTGACTGTCAATCCATCTCATTGAATCTTTTCTCCTTCACTGACCCCATCATTCCCAGAATGATGTCCTTTTAAAAAAAAATAAATTTTTTTGTGTGTGTGCATACCATCAAATTGGTTCTGACTAGTAAAGGAGGAGATTGCCCCTCCTTCTCCAGCAAAACATCTGGTGGATTTGACCCGCACACCTCTGGAATTGTAGTGCAACTTCTTGCCACTGTCCCACCAGAGCTCTGATGTAATTTTCTAGGAATTAGTCTCTTCTAATAACATGCTCAAAGTATGTCAAATGAAGTTTTACTGTATTTTCCTTCAAGGAGCATCATAAAGATATATAGCCTCTGAAACCCAGTGGAGGGCTGCTGTGGATAGGTTTTGACTCAGGAACATTGAGTTTTGGTTTATCTAACATAATACAGATAATTTTTTAAGTACACAAAGCTAAAATCCGATTTTAATTGCATACTTTTTGTTGTCAGGTTCTTGCAAGTTATATAAATCCTGTGAGTGGCACAGTAAATGGAGACACTCAGTCATCTCATGAAAGCAGAGGACAGAACAATAATGCCCTTCCTTCTGTGCTTCTAGAACTTCTCAGTCAGTCATGCCTCATCCCCGCCATGTCATCATATCTAAGAAATGATTCAGGTAAATGGCCTTTGTACTTAATCCTCCAAATACATTCCTTTGTATTTAACCCTCCAGAATACATTTATGGATGAATTTTTTCATTTGCTTTACACTGTCATTTTAAACAAAAAATTTAGCTATTTTGCATTCTCTTGTAAGTGTGAGCTTGATATTCTTGTAAAATTTTGATTCTAAAAATTTTTTTAAAGGTTTTTGAAGCCTTTGATTTGATACTCTAGGAACTTATCCTAGAAAATAAAGCAAATGTTTTTGTTATTCCTTTAAGATTCCCTGTGAATGCACCCTTTTTTATTGCTTCTAAATACCTGTAACTAAAAACAGTGAAAAAAGCCAGGAAATTTCATAATGTGTTCTGATATTCTATCATTAATTGAACTTCCATTTCTTTTGTTTCAGTTCTAATTAAAGATAGACAACAAACCATTTGCTGTTTTAACCATTTTTAAGTGTACAGTTCTGCAACCTTAATTGCATTCACCTTGTACAACCATCAGCACTATTCATGTTTCATATATACCCCTTGACAATAATAATTCTCCATTTCTCCTAATTGTGTGATTTTACCATGAAAATGTAAGGAGCTCTGGTGGCCTAGTGGTGAGAAGCTGTGCTGCAATCTTGAAGGCACACCGTCAAGGGCACCAGCTGCTCCAAATGAGAAAGATGAGCAATCTCTGTGTGCAATTAATTGCCTCTGAAAACCCACTGGATTGTCAGCTATGAGTCAGTTCCGACCCAGTGGTACAAAACAGCCACCATGAAAGTGTGTTGGATATTGGCTAATGCCTTTGCTAGATTACTTTAAATGATCGTATGGTTCTTTAATGTTCTGTTATTGTAGTATTACATTGATTGCTTTTTGTATTTTAAACTAATTTTGCCTTACTTGGATAAATCTCACTTGATCCAGATGTATTCAAGTTCTAAGTCTTTTGTTGAGGTTATATATTCTATAGTTTTCTTTCCCTATATTATATTGTGTGACTTTAGGATCAAGGAAATATTGGCTTTGTAAAATTATTTAGGTAATGTCTTTTCTCTCTTCATTTTTGAAAGAATACAAGAAGGATTTGTGTCATTTCCTCTTAAAATATTTGGAAGAATTCACCAGTGAATACGTCGTTGCCTTTGTTGTTAAGTCTAATTACTAATTCAGATTCTTGAGTTACTTTGTGTTGAGATTTTGATTCACTAAAGTCAGTTTAGCTAGTTGATGTCTTTTAAGGAATTGTCTGTTTCATCCTGTTTGTCCCATATAACAGTCTCATCTCTCTTTCATTGCTGTGACGTTGGAACCTACTCATGCCTGATCCTGTACTGAGAAATGTCCCCATTTCCACTTCTAATCTCTCTTTCTTTCTTTCTTCTTCTTTTTTTTTTTTTTTTGCTAGCTAAAGGCTTGTCAGATTATTTTTATCTTTTCAGATTGCCAGCTTGTTGTTTTGTTTCTTCTTTTTCTATTCTCTGTATTTCATTCCTTTTTATTCTGCTCTTTTTTTATTTCCTTCATTTTCGTAACTAGGTTTATGTTACTCTTTTGTTTTTAGTTTCTCAAGTTGTAAAGTTGTGTTGTTAATTGAAGATCTTTCTTTTTTTAATACTTTAGTGCTATCAGTTTTACTCTTGGATATTGTCTTTGTATTCCATATATTTTGGTTTGTTGTACTTTTTTTTTTTCATTGCGAGTATTTTCTGATTTCTCTTGTCTTCATCTTTGATACTTTGGCTATTTAAATGTGTTGATTTATTTCCTTAATTACCAGTGTTCCTTCTGTTATTAATTTCTAGAAGATTGTATGTTGCATTAGCACACAGTTTATCCTGCAGAATGATCCCTGGACACTGGGAAGAATATGCTATGTACTGTTGTTGAAGTTATCTTCTAGTCTTAGTTATTTTATAGTATTTATCATCTGTTTTTTTTCCTAGATGTTGTGTCCATTATTGAAAGTGCTGCCTCCAGCTATTATTATAGAACTGGATTATCCTTAAATTCTGTGTTTCCTTTTCCTTCAGTTCAGGATTTGCTTCACATATTTTGAGGCTCTTATATTAGGTTTAGAAGTATTTCATTTGTTATCATTTCTTCATGTATCATTTAAGAATCCTCTATACTTGAGTTTGGGAACTCTGGTGGTCTAGTGGTAAGAAGCTGCTACACTGCCAGCTCAAAGGTATGCATGTCAGTTCCACCAGTTACTCCACTGGAGAAAGATATATAGTTTTCCCATGCGATTTATTACCGCTACAAAACCCCCTGAAGGGTCAGCTGTGGGTCATTTCCAACTTGACAGTACATAACAACAACTATATCTTGAGTCTTTTCCTCCCTCATTTTGGTAAAGATGAGTACAGTAACCATAACATCAGTTTAACAGCAGTTATCAGTTCAGAGATACTGGTTGTAGTTGTAGTCAGAGATACTGGTTTGGTCTTCTTTTCTTTTCACCTGGAAGTCTCCCTTTAGTGTTTTCTTATGTGATAGGTTTAGTGGTAACACCTGCCCTTAATTATCTTTCTATTTATTTATTTATTTACTGAGACTATCTTAACATTTGCTTTCGTTATTTAAAAATGTATTCTGAATCTTTTGATTGACAATTCTTATTTCAGCACTTTAAAACACATCATTCCTCTGCCTTCTGGCCTTTTTGAGGAGAAGTGGCCACTTAATCTGATTATGGATCCTTTATACATGATGATTTCCTTTTTCTTACTGCTGCTTTATAAAATTCTTTAAAAGACGTCTTTGTCTTTAAGGCTCTGGATCCTAAAAGAAAATATTTGTTATTAAATATTAAAGTATACTTTAAAATATTAAATACTATTTTCACTTAAATAGTATTCACATAAATGTTCATGTGGCCTGTGAATAAACTTGAAATTGTTTAATTTTTAAATTTATTATTAATTTCAATGAAAATTTACAGAGACTTTGGATTTCCATTCATTCACTGTTGCATTTTTTTTTTAATTGTTTATAAATACTTAAAATTATCTTGTAACTGTGATAAATTGGAGTTTGAGCTTTCTTTTGTGACTTACTGTTTACATTGATAAAAGACCTTTTTGGACCATGGTTTAGAAAAGTTTGCTTGATTTTTTTTTTTTTTTTAATCTGGTCCAATGTTTAAAATGCAGTATTTTTCTTTGACTGACGTCACATTTCTTCTTAAATAATATTTTTAAGTTAAAAATTGTTAACGTGGTTATGGTTATTAGGTCACTGGCAAAGCAACCACTTGAAAGATAATTCTGAATAATTGAAAATTTATACTGGAATCAAGTCTATGTCTATTATAGAGCCAACGTGGGTACTGGTTAAGGGTACACGACAGGATTGGTGGTTTGAAGCTATCATTCTCTCCAAGGAAAAAGATACACTTCATAAAGATCTGAGCCTCAGAAACCCTGAGGCACTTCTGTTCTTTCCTCCAGAGTTACAGTGAGTTGAAATTGCCTTGAGTACAACATATTTGTTTTGAAATTTTATGATGTTAATTTTGTAATAAAGAACATAAAATAGATATGTACACTTTTTTTTTGTTATGGTACTATTTATAGATATGTACACTTTAGAAAAATATAAATATGAAATGTATTTTCAAGAAGATAGGTTATTATGTGTGTTAACTATAAAACCCACAAAGATAAATAAATCTTTTTTCTTCAGCAAGGCAGCTATTTAGTTGGCAGCTTATCACACGTTAGCTATGATTAAATGTTTTAAGGGGAATTGAAAGTGTAAACAAACTAATCTACATGTAAGCCTCAAGTGTATTTTCCAGTTTTATAATTTTCTTTCGGAGAATTCCTTAGGCATTTTATTGGGGCTGTTGAATTTAGTCTAAAATCTTTTATTTAATTTTCATAGCTCTTCAACCTCCTTCTTGTTGTTGATGATTGCCTTCAAGTTGAGCACGACTCATAGCGACCCTATGAACAAAAGGCTTGAAGCCCCTCTACAGCTATCGACATATATCCAATTTCATAGAGTTTCAAAGGCATGTTATTTAGGAATTGGATGCCACTCCTACTTCCAAACCTGTCATAGTATGTTATTGTTTTTATGTGCCATTGAATCACTTGCGATGTATAGCCTATGTACAGCAGCTCTGAACTCTTCCTTGTCCTGAGCCAGTTTCACTAACTGACACACCAACCTCCATCGCCGGAGTTATTGAATCAATCCATCTCATTCAGGGTCTCCCTCTCCTGCACTGTCTGTCCACCCTTCCGAGCATGATGTCCTTCTCCAAAGACCAATCTCTCCTTGCCACATGCCCAGAGTAAGTGAGGTGGAGCTTGAAAATCCTAGCCTCCAAAGAAAGACGACTTCACCCTCTCCAAGACAGACCTATTTGTTTTCTTGACAGTCCATGTTCAAGACTCTTTTTTTCCAGCATCACAACTCGAAGGCATTTATTCTTATTCTGTCATCCTTAATCATTGTCCAACTCTCTGAAGCATAACAAGTAATTGAGAAGACCATGGCCTGGATTAGGTGTACCTTTGTATCTAGACTGACATCTTTGCTCTTCAGCACTCTGGAGAGGTTTATGACAACAGATTTTCCCAGTGCAATTCCTCTTTTGATTTTATGACTGCTGTTGTTAAGTGTTGATTGTGGATATGAGTAAGCTTATTGATAATAACCTCAATCTCTTCTCCGTCTAATATGGTGCTGCCAGTTGGCCCACTGGTGAGAATCTTTGTCTTCTTGATGTTGAGCTTCAATCCATATTGACGACTACAATCTTACAGCACGTGCATCAGGTCCTCCTCAATTTCAGCAAGCAGGGGTGTGTCATCTGCATACTATAGGTTAATAAGTCTTCCTCCAATCCTGATGCCCCCATTCCTCCTCATAAGGCTCTGCTTTCCAAATGATCTGTTCTGTGTACAGATTGAAAATGTGCAGGGGCAGGATGCATCCCTGTCACACTCCTTTCCTGATTTTGAACCATGCAGTGTTTCCTTATGCTGTTCTGAGGACT